ATAAATGAGTAGTGGACCTGGTTTAAAGAATTGTATAAATAACGAGACGCTCAAACTCAAAATGACACATCTCCATTGTTAGTGAATGTCCTTGCACTTCATTAACCCTGTTTGGCTTTTATTTATAAATACTCAAATAAATGGGATATTAAGACGGCAAAACACAAAAAGAATCACAGTTCATTATACCTCATTTCCTTTAATGCTTTTCATCGACTTCTCAAAGATTGGAACCGCTTCAATCAACACATAAAAAATAGCCCTGTGGTTCTAAAAGTATTTGAAATTAGTTATATTCCCCAAAGATTTTTTTAGCAAGCAATGAAAGTGTAAACTGAGCTGAGTAAATCCATTCTGGGCCCATCTGGGAATATAGTCTTTACATACTTGTTTGGTGGGTATGAAAGGTTTTATTATGAATGTATAAAAAATAAGTGGACTACACTAAGAAAGATTTTCTTCTAAAGCAAAAGCATTAATTAATTGTCTACTGCTTAGGATACAGCAAGGAGGATGTTTACTACTTCACATTATAATTATAAGCCTTCCTATTCACTTGAATAAATTAGTAGATGCAGCAGTGTTAAATGTAATAGAAATCCCAGTCTTTGGTCTCTGACATTTAAACAGCTAATGAACTACATGATAGAATAATATGAATAACAGTGTTCAATAAGGTCATTCATTACCTTATGATTGTTTTAAAAGAACAAAAATACAATATTACTTTGTAATAACAACGCTTTGCAATATTTATTACTATAATATATAAGAGTACACAGAGAAAATAATTTCTCCAGGTATCTTTGACCAAAGCTACTGGAAGAATAAGATGACAATACCTGACTAGCATAAAACTCAAATGTAAATTTTGCTTGATGGCTATATAGAGAATCTGGCCATTAAGTACCTTCAACTGCAATACTTATTATTTTGGTGTTGACATGATCTGCTATAACATTTAGTCACTTAAATGCATTAAACCCTCTCAAGCTGTTTACCAATTGCTGCCTCATACAGAGGTATTATTTTAGCAATAGCATAATTTATTAGGAGTTTTATTGTATCAAATGACAGTTTTATAAAGTGAGGCACTATCCAATTGAGTATTTCAGATGCTAGAATACAAAGGAATTTTGAATGGCATAACATATTACAAAAAATTCAGCCATTGACCTTTGTAATTCAATTACTTTTTCTTTAAAAAACAATGCTTTTTCATTCGATGGAATAAATAATAATAGAATTATCAACAGAGTATTAATATTTAGTAAATATTTCGATTAATTTCTTAAGTAGTCATTTTTTAATAATATCCAGATATATTCTTTTCTTTTTTAATGCAAACCAAATTACCGAAGCCTGCCAACAAAGTATTATTTTCTAAAAGGGCCATTAATGTTCAAATGGAAAGAGCCAGAAAGGGAATATAGAAAAAGGAATAGGGTGTGGCAGGCTGGAAAAATTTACATTCCAACATTTATAAGCAACATATTAAGATATAGCAGGAGATTAACAGTGCGAGTTCAGACTAGGCTACCAAACTCAAGACTGCTGAGTCTTATGGGGACCGGTGAAATTTAGAAATGAAAATAACCCCAAAATCTTCTAATTTGATGTATACCTCTCAGAGATAAGTAAGCTCTGTCCAAGATAATTAACTGTATTTCTTCAGGTCACATGAGTAGGTAGGGGCAGCAGTAACTTAGGATTCCAGGCTCAATTTTCAGAGATTTGGGCCACTAAAGTCTAAGATTTTGTGGCTAATGTAAAATCTAAAGCATTTTCTGGTTAATGTAAAATTTGAAGCATTACCTTAAATTTTTTTGTTATATTATTTTGTACCAGATTATAAAGTTTATGGTTCATAATAAAACAAGAAAATAAACAGGACAAAAAAATACAGGGTAGAAATTTTAGAGACATTGAGGGAAAAAATGAACTTTGGAAGTATATATTTTTTACAAGTATCTTACTGAAATATTCTGAATGAATGCAGTATTTGCCATCTTTGCTTCTCTCCTTTTAACCCCATCAACTGAACACAAATGCATCTGTTTATTCATTCCCACCTAAGGATTTAAATGCTAAGAAGAGTTCATTCTCTTCCACCCTCCTATTTTGCCTGCCTGCATTTTTCCCTTCCTTGTTCCTGCCTTCTCCAGCTGTACTACACTTAAAGAATCATTTTTTAGTTTGATTTAGGACATATGAAGTTTGCATCTACACAAACTGCATTATATTTGTACATGTTGTGATGTAAAAATGGTACTGTTAAAACAGATAATGAGTCTGCTTGGGTAGCCTGCAATGAATCTACCTGTATTAAGAAAGAACCTAAACTTGTATAAGAAATTTAAAGATTTTTAGGAGCAATCTTCTATGTCTTCAATAGAAACTTGACCTTCAAGGCTATACTTAGATGGTAAGGAATCTAAAGCAGCCAGTCGAGAAATTTAAACCAAGTATTTAGTGTTGGATAGGAAAGCCATCTGTATCACAATTTTTTTTACTAAATTCAACAGCTATTTTTACATCATTTAGACACAGTCTCAATCTCTTAACATATAGTTCTTTTTAATTATTTCTAAGACATTTCAGAATATATTTGAATTCAAAATTTGACAGCCCTCACTAGACTTGGTTTTTATACGTGTTTGTCTCCTCACTCTTTTCATCTTTTCTCCTGCTGCGCCACATAATTTAAATTTTCAGTGGCCCCTTCCACCTCTTAGAATATTTGCTTTTGGAGTTAGAATATGTTAGAGCTGAAAGGGGTCTCAAGAGACCTTGTTGAATACTTTTGTTGCAAAGTAGAGTAAACTGAAGCTTGGAGGTATTCCCAGACTGCGAAAATCAGCTCACTGATTAGTAGAAGATGGAGCTGAGGTTAGAAACACAGCTAATCACTAATCAAAAAAAAAATGTTCCCATTTGATTAAGAAACTTTCTAATGTTTTAAATTTAGAGATGTTTTGAATTTTAATTATGGTTCAAATTAATGTTTCCCTAAACGTCCATAAGAGCAATTAGCATCCGTAATTTCTCAAAATTTCTTGTGTTGTACTTTCTATTAGTATTTTGCAAAAAAATAGTGCAAGAATTTCTCAGGTTAAATTCTAATGTTTTAACTTACATAGATTCAACTCTTGTGTTATCATATGACTTTCAAGCAATTGCATATCTTAGTTTTTACTCCAATATTGATTCAAAGTTTTATGTAATAAGCCCAAACACAACTCAAGTTCTATATTAAAAGTAATGAAACTGCACGATCTTTCTGACTCTTCTGTGAAGTATAGAATACATTTAATGAAATGGGGCTTTTTAAATTATTTGATATTATGGATTACCCAAACAAAAGAATTCTGGCCAAATGGTTCACTATGTTACTGACATTACCCAATTTTTCTGCTTCTGCTACCCAAATAGCTTGAACAGGTTCCAATCTCTCACTTCCCTCTGTGCTGCAGAGGCCTGAGTTCCAAAGTGTCCATACTCATGGACCCCAGAATGAAGCTTCCAGGTACCTGTATCAGTGTACACCGGAGGGCTGGGCAAGACTGACTAACGTGTGAAAATGAAGGACTTACCTTATAGTAATCAAGTCATTTTTCCATAATAGAAAATGCTTAATACAATTTTACATTTTCGGATTCTGTAAATTAAAAAAATTTTTTTTTGAGTTAAGGAGTTCTGTGATAAACATGTCTATAGTATTCTGGATTATTTATTAAAAGTTAATTTACAAAAATAAGCAGTGGAGAATGGAAAGAACTGGATTTCTGGTAGTTGGGTAGTTTAACAGTCTGAGAAAAGTTAACTAAAGACTGAGAGTTGAAAGAAAACAAGTTCCGTGAAATATGAATCTAATGGAGTAAACACATTTTCAACATTTGTTAACACTTGTATTTTTTTTTACTTTGAGCAGGAATTTTGAATTTAATTTCTACTGTCCCTAAAGTTTAATCTCCAATAAAAATACATTGATATAATTCTGAAGCTGATATTCCAATGGAAAGTGAATCCATTCTCAGCATGAATGCATCACACTAGTACTTATTTATTGAGAGGATGCTTGAGTTTAGCAGTCAGAGTCAAGTACAAGTGAATGAAGCAAGCCAATATTGTAGTATTAGAACCTAGGAGTCAAAAATAGCATGTGGATTCCACACCACCTGTATTCCCCTCTTAATCCTACCTTATATCTCAACAAGTCCGATGTTTTGTTAAAAGTAAACACGTCACATGCAATAGCCAAGTAAATACTACATAAGGCCATTCAGATCTGACAAATGACGGTATAATGGCATTTTGTTAATTCTGTAAAGATTATATTGCTGAGTGCTTTCAAAATCTCCTAATGTACAAAATTCTAGACTTAGTAGACAAAGAGTAACAACATATGGATTTTAAAGAAACAAAATTCAGTGTGGGATTCTATCTTGTTTTGTTTTGTTAAAAATCATGTACTGAATTTAAATTTTTAGTAAAGCAAGCATTAAGCTTTAAGATTTTAAAATTCGGGGAAAAAACGTTTACATCCAAAAAGATGAGTGGAAAAATTGTGCTTTCGGACTGTAGTGTTAGTTTTCTTACAGGGTTAATTAAGCATTTCATCTTGCCATTGGATACTGGGAATATCAACTATGCAATGGATATATGTGCAGTTCATATCCAGGTCCTGCGAAAATCTAAAACTGTGTGCTTCACTTCATGTAGCAAAGGCACCTATGTTATTCTCCCTTTTGAGCGAAAGTTCTGATCCAGTTTTCCTGCTGAAGATGAGACACTGTTCTGACACCCACGCTCTCTGTGTTGAGCAAGCAGTACAGTAAATTGTAAGAGAAGGTGGAGGCAAATCCCTGCTTACGCTGGAAGAAGTCACTCTGTGGACCATTTGAAGAAGCTCTGGACTGATCACAAGGGAAACCGAGCAGAACTGTGAAGCAGACAGACAGGAACAAAGGCTATTGTGGTGTGAGAAGGAATCAGTCCGTTCAGCTCCACAAGCAGATGTTGCTACTGGACTGACAGGTGGAACCCACCCCCGCTGGAGAAAGGTAGAGTTTGCCGTTGGGGCACACACACAACTCGTACACCGTCTGTCGGGCATTTGAAGAGCTGGGTGAAGATGAGAAAGAGCCAGTCGGCATATTTCCCAGCCGAATTGTGTCCGCATTCAAAAATATCTAGGGGGAAAAATTGCATTTTAATTCATTTCAGCATTCTCCATTCCTCAGAGCTTTACAACATGGCCTAATAAGAAAGACTACATAACCAATAATTCTATTGGTTTAGCTGCCATGCTTTGTTGAACAAACAAATTACACTCCTACAGTACAGCCCCAAAGCTCTACAGCTATCTTCTCCTTTGGGACATGGTGAATTCTGACGGAAAGTCCTTGATCTGAAAAAGCAATATTGTACAATCTGCTTGAGAAGCCAACCCAGTTATTCAAATACCACAGAAAATTCATGATTTTGACAGAGTATCTCATTTTAACTTCCTAGTTATGCCTAGTTTAGAGAATGTACAAGGAACTGCAAAGTTTCTAGTCATGGACCCCCAATGAAGCTTCCACATACCTGTAATAATGTGCTTTTGTGGGGAGGGGAGGGACTTCCTGGATATGCTGTTACTGGGTGGGAAATTAATAAAAAATGACTCTAGCCTAGTTTTTAAAAATACTCACAAAATCATGTTGATAGACTGTCTACAAGATGTACTGAGTAGGTAATCTGAGGGATTAACAACAGATAGTTAATATAATCAGATTCGAAGCCTCCATAAAACATGACTTGTACTCAGCATTTACTTTGCTGTATCTTCTAACTTGCAAGATTACTTCACTTATTCCAAATCATGGTTTTAACCCTGTTAGGGACAGCGATCACATGGTTTTGACATGCATGGGGAAAGATCCAAAGAAAGACAAAGTGGATCATGAACTTGAATGAGAAAACAGAAACAAAAACAAGAACAAAAAACAAAAAAGCAACTACAAACACAAAAATAAAAACTTCTCTCTAGTCTTTCCTTTATTATATTGTTATGTAGAAAATCGCTACCTAAAGACATCTTTAAATTGACAGGCGTATCAGAGAATGCACCATTTTCTACATATTTATCCTCATCCAAGTTTTATTCATTTTTTACTAGGACTCTTGAAATAGCTGCTTAACTGGCCCATCCAGCTGCCATTATTATTCTCCTATAGTCTATTTTACATAGTACTAGAGTAAACTTTTAAGAAATGCAAATCAAATCACATCAACCCAGTGCTCAAAATTCCCCAATGATCCCCACTACACTGAACGTGAGTCTTGATTCCTTTCCATGACCGACAAGTCCTACATGACCTGGACTATCTCTCTAACATCATTACCGATCATTCTTCTTGCTCTAGCTCTTACATGTCCTCAAATATATCAAAAGAACTCTCACCTCAGGGCATCTTTAGTGCCTGTTTCTTTAGCTTGAAATATTTCCCTGCATATATACATACATACATACATACATATATATATACATATATATATATACATACACATATACAGACATATATATATGAATATGATTGGGGGTAGATAGTAACTCGGTGGCTAGGGAATAGGAGTGGAGGGAGATTTCCACTGTTAGCCTCTTTTGTACTTTTAAAATTTTCAAACACAAAAACTAATTGCCTGTGCAAATGAGCCAGTAAAAGGATTCATACACTATGGTCATGCATAATTTAGATTAATTTGGATGTGAGCATGTTTGTTCGGGTGTCTGCTATATGGTCACCTTCTCAAAAAAGGACTCTCCTACTCCTCCTACGAAAATAACACTAATCCATTCATTAATTTCTCCTCGACAGTTTCACTTTTCTTTGTAGTAACCATTCCTTCCTACCATTTGTTGTATTCGTTCATTTATTGTGCTTCTCTTACACAAAAGTAAGATCTATGAGGGCAGAATCTGCCTTCGGTTCACGGTCACAGGACAATTCACAGAACCGTGGCGGTACATGCTGTGTGAGATAATGCTTCCCCTCCCCCTTGGACATGTCCCTCCACTCTGGGTACAAAGGTCACCCTCCAGCCAAGTCCTTTCATCAGCTTTATTCTCCATAGGGCTTTCCCTGACACTCCAGGAGAGAAAGACTTTATTTGGTTCTCCTGTAGCACTTTATTGTTACCAATATCTTATTTTGCTAATATCTTATATATTATTCTTTTTGTTGAAGGTAGAAGCACACCTAAATAGTTTTACAACTCCACAGTGTTTGACCCTGCACATACGGCGTCCACTTAAGACAAACAGTTGTTGAACAAATGAATAGATTATAAAATAAATGAATGATTACCTTGACCAACAGTATTCAAAGTTAAAGAATGCATCTTTACTCTTGGGTTAAGTGAGAGGAAAGTAAAGAAAAAAGGCCTAATTATTTTAAGAAGTTTTTTTTTTACTGACTTAAATGTTAGAAATGCACAAAACGAGCAAAAGAAAACAATACAGTTTTGGGCACAGATGCTGGGCCTCATTTCTTCCAGCTCTGTTTCCATGTTGAGGGACATCAGTGGCTGTAACTCATTGTTACACGCTCTGGATTCTTCTGTGCATTTCTCCAGGGTGGGGTGTGGGGGCAGGGATGTCTCCTCTTACTGACTACGAGGGTTTGAGGTTCAGAGAGAAACTGGCCTTGCCCCTTTCTTCACTTTTTTTAGGAGCTGGCAGAGCAGACACTCTTACATTCCAAAATTACTACACGGGCAGGGTCTGGGGTTTAGGTCTGCATACGTAGAGGCGAGTTCTTTGAAGAAGTGTTAGGTGCTGGCGTTTTGCCCAAGAAACCTTGAGACACAGATGAGAAACAGTGGGGTGTGGGAAGCAAAGGAACATGTGGATAAGGAGGCTCACATGGGATTGACCAAATGACTACAAGATACTGAAGATACTGTGAATGGTTCACTATTAGTAAGCACAGAAATAAATGTTGCTGGTTGGCCCTGATGGTTTGCAGAGGCTTGATGCCACCAAGCCGAATCCCTCTGTTTTATGGTTTGGAACTAACTGTCTTTCCATTGGTGTGGCCTGAGGGAATAAATGTAGAGAGTAGTTGTGTTGATACAGGTAAGGCGAGCAGGTGGCAGCCTGCGAAATCAAGCACAGATGTAGAGACCTCACCAATGGGCATTGGCCTTGAACCTCATGCTGTATGGCCCACTAGAGCGTAGCTAGAGCACTGTCCTCTGGCTCTCCTATCCATTTAGGGGTGCTTTGACAATATTTAGCTCTATGACAACACTTAATTCCATCAACTTCTGATATTGAAACTGTAGCCTCAACCACATAAGGGCGGTAGATTATATTAATAAATTAAAATGAACACGGCCATTAAAAAGAGAAGGTATTTGCTTGGCTTGATAAAAAGTACTGATACATATTCTTTCCAACCCAACACTGCTCAGCTTCCCCACAGGCTCCTGCAGTGTGGCTGGGTTTGCTCATAACTCTTTCCATCTGTGGAAGCAGTTACTACGATGCTGTTTACTTTCCAGCTTCTAAAATTGATATTTCTATTCTATATTGTCCTACAAGCCATATAATCTATTTGTTTTGAAACCCTTCCTGGTATTCAAAATTACACCTCTGAGGTTTTAACTCATGTCCTATTGTCTTCTTGTCACTAAGAATTCATATATTCCATTCGTACCTGTTGAAATTAGACCTATCACTATAAGAAATAATCTTAATCACTTTGCAAAATAAAAATTGTTTTCTTCTTCCTCTGTGATCTTGCACATGCTATTAGATTATTGCTTTGCATATACTATTGTAACACTTCCAGTGTTCTTAAAATTATGACTTGTGTGGTTTTCAGAGTTAAATTTGAAATTCCTTGCAACATTATGTTAAAAATAACTGAATCTTCTGCAGCGAGGAATTTTGTGTGCAATTTCATCCTCACACATTTTGTTCATTATTTCAGTTACCTCAGTGCTATGCCTGTTCTGACTTTAACTAGTTTAAAACCTATCTAAAGGTAATTCTGACATGTTTCTCTATTGTTTAATAAATGATCAATCTGCCTTTCATGGTATACCATGAAACAAAGAGAAAGATTTTATATCATTACAAATTTCTTCATTGGAAAATTACATGTTTTTGTTCTCATATAAAATTTGTGCTGTTCTATATATTTGTTTTATTAGTATCAAAATGACCATAGCTGACAACCTCTGGATATGGTTTATTTATAGCATAATCCTCAATTCACAATTAAATGACAACCTTTAATTGAATCCAAGGAATCTGTTGATACTCTGAATAAAAGAGGATCAGTAACTGTGAGTTTGCTGTCCTTTCACTGTTCATCTTTTTTATCTTCTTTTTCTTAGGTAAGTCCTTTTAACATTTCATATAATAAGGGCTTGGTGATGATGAACTCCTTGAATTTGATCTTTTCTGAGAAGCACTTTATCTGCCCTTCCATTCTAAATGAAAGCTTTGCTGGATAGATCAATCTTGCAAGCTCACAGTTATTAACAACCACACCTAAAACAAAAGCAAACTAAGAGGACAGCTAGATCAGGAGCAGAACCATAGAAATGAAGATCACATGGAGGGTTAGTAACAGGGAAATGGGAGGAGGAGAAGGGGAGAGAAGGTACAGAGAATAAGTAGCATAGACGGTAGATAGAAAATAGATGGGGGGGGAGGGCAAGAATAGTATGGGAGATAATAGAATCTAAAGAACTTGAGACGGGTGGTCATAAACTAAAGAGGGGGAATTGTGGGGGAGGGGTGTGCAGGGTGGAGGGGAATGAAGGGGGAAATAGAACAACTGTAATGGCATAATCAATAAAATATATTTAAAAAAAGAGAATCAGTAAAGTGGTGCATAAGTAGGAGCAGAACAGAGATGAATAAGCACCACTATTTATTATGGGATGATTCACTATGAATAATTTGAATGAACTCATCACCATGATGAAAGCAACTCATTAAAAAGGATGTGAAATATTTAGAAAGGATTTTGTCTTGCTGTGGAAGGCAAATTATTACATGTGGTCTGTAATAGTAGTGGAAAGGAACCCTAAAAGGCAATATGGATATATATTTTAAATATTCTAAAGCATATTTATAGATTATATATGTTTTAATCTCCAATAAGATGCTAATGTGGTCCTGAGCATGACTTTGTTTATAAAAATAATCAAAGTATATAATTAAAATTTATCTTGAATCAACAACTGAGATAATGGCAAAAAAGTAAAAAAAAAAGTCTCCCATTGATTGTATTAGTTTCTGCTCTCATCTTCACATCTGAAGAGGAATAAAATGCTCTAGAATATCTCTTAAACAAGCTTTCCATTCTTTTTTCCTGAATTTGAACTTTTTAAACTCATAATAAAAAATAATGCACATCAGGGAAGAAAATACTGAAGGAATTAATTGGTATGAACAGCAAAACGACACATTAGAACTTCAAGGACTCTGAGCATTAAAATAAAATTATACAAAATAGCAGATGCATTATGTATAAGGCTTTGAAATAATTAAGGTAGAATTAAAAACAAATGAGCAAGAAAAAAAAAGAGCAACTACCAAGATGACCAGGCAAATTTGAAAAAACAACAGAGGAGAATCCTGGAAATGAACAACATAATTACCAAAACTAAAAGCTCAGTGTAGGTGTTAATTATGAAATTAGATACTGAAGAGGACTCTAGGCATGTAGATCAGGATAAATAAGCAGAGTGAGACACAGGGAGACAAGGAAATAGTAAGGAGTGAAGGGACCTGGAGGGCCGATGAGCGGTACAGCATTCCTACAGACTTCTAGAAAAAGGAAGTCTGTGGCCACAGACAAAGTGGGGGGAGGAAATGCATGGAGACATCTACTAAGTAATTTTCAGAACGGACAAAAATCTGACTCTACAGACACAACAATCACAATGTATTCAGCAAGAAGAGGAAATGAAACAAATGTGTATCTCGCGTGTGTCAGCATACAAGAAAGGATGACCAAAGACAAAAGATTCTTGATTTTTAAAGGCATGACAGCAGACTTAAAGGAGATTCTTGAGGGAAATAAAGTGAATGGAAGAAAACTCTTACCCAGGAAATAACAATAGGGCTAAATAGTAAGAGAACCTTTTGTTTCTTTTAAAAATCTAGGCACTATTTCTGTGGAAACAAACATCCAAGGTAATTTTGGGAAGAATGGTTTGAAGAATGATATAGAATTTAAAAAAACAAAGATTAATTTATTCTTGATACTATCTTGCTATTTATTAAACTGCCCCACTCATCAGTGAATATCTTTCAATAGAAAATAAATAGAGCTTTGACTTAAGTAAATAACACTAGGCTTACTAATTTTCATATTAAAGAAGAAATAGTAATAGGTTCATTCACGATTAAGCTCTCTTAGGAAGCAGTTGTCCATGTCTCACCTGGTACCATGTGTATATACTTTGAGAGGAAGGATTCTTACCACTAAAGAGCCACCATCCACCCTGGGAACTCACCTCCCCCTCTGTAGACTGCAGGTGGAGCTCCTTCCTGCAGGTGGCCTTGAAGTCTCCGGCGGCTGCTCGCACCTGGACCCCTCGAGGAGCTTCCATTATCAAGGATCTGGTTGGTGACTCCAGCCTAAAAGAAAACCAAAACAATCCGTAACAAATTACAATGAACTAAAAGATAAAATCAGTCAGCTAAAAACAAAGAAGCAGGTGGGAATAAATAAAAATCCTTGGCATTTAAAAAAGGGGGAGGCAAAATGATGTTTTAAATGATTTTTGATTATTAATTGTTTAGCTCTTATTTAAGACTATTTGTTGGCAACAATGATTAACTCTTATTTATATAATGATTTGCTAAATTTCTTATGTTGTTTCCCTTCACAATGCACATGAAAAGTAGGTCATCAGAAATTTACTTGTTTAAAGCTTTTACATATTTTCATGGTCATGATGGAGTTTTAAAAAATAAGTTTCCAGACTGAGCATGTGAGTAAGCATCAATAAAGAGTCCCTGTCTTGTGAAGATGGGAGAGTGTCGATGAAAAATCATGAAATCTGTGCACTGTCGAGCATGCACAGTAAAAATTCTATAAGCTTGAAAATTTTCAAAGTACTCTTCAAGCCTCTAGAAATCAATTAAAATAAAGAAAGAAGACATTTCCTCCAACAACTGACTTCTAGTCCTTGAGGAAAATGTCCACAGAATAAATGACATTAGTCTGAGGAAGAAAAATTAAATGGAGGCTGATATACCAGTACAAGTGTGATTAAAGGTTAACTACATACATTTTGAGAAAAACAGTGTTTAAGACAGTTGTGTCTGCAACAAGAAGGTAGCTGGGAGACAGTTTAAAATGATCTTAAAATATAAAACTAGAGAGCAGAACCAAAGAAGGCAGAACAAAGACAACAAAATACAGCAGTAAAAAGCACTCATGTGAGAAGAAGTTTTATCCCTGGATTGCACTTTTTGGGTAAGTGCTCTGCTCTGGGCTGTAGTGGCCGGTTCCCACCCCTCCTCACCCCCCCCCCCCCCCACAGGAATTCAGGACAGGAATCCCCTCAGGGTCACGTTGATAGACCCAAAGCTGTTTTGCAGTGAGAACCACCTTAAACAGTTCGATTAGCTCTCTCAGTAACGAGGTTGAAGGTGATATTGAAGGACTCAAGCCAGCAGTTAGAAAAACAGTGATTGGGGCACATTCAAATCATTTTTTCCCCCCACTCACAAAGCCAACTTTGAAATTTTCATCTCTATGTGACTTTTCGACATCTTCATGAAATCCCTGGTGGGAGTGAGGGCATATAAGTTTTTGAGTATAAATATTTTAAAGAAAACTGTATTTTGGTATTTTTAAAACAAAAATCACACATTTTTGTAAAATATTTGAAAACTTATGAAAAAAACACTCATGATTTTTTCATTTGTAATTCTTATACTTTGACACAGTTCAAAATATGAATGTTAAAATGTATACTTGGAATTAATTGCCCCGGATACACTTCCAAATCTGCCCCACCTTGCAAAGTACATTTGTGACCACTACTATTTCCATTTGTTCATTACCCATAAAACAAAATGTAATTCTTTAAGTTTGGATATGATCGAGCCATAAAAATTGATGTTAGTAACTGAAATTAAAATGGATTAAAGTCCTACAACAGATTATGAACCTGACATTCATGGAAATGCAACTCAGTGATATTGTAAGTGGGAAGAGAAGCACAGTTACTTTATGAAATAATTATATGAGTTATTTTGTTTCTGAGAATAAGGGGTTGCAGTGATTACTCATATAGTTAATAGTAAAATATCCATATTAAACGTGCAAATTTTTTGTGCTGTATTTCTACCACATTTTACATTTGGGATTAGAGTATTAAAATATATAAAGGATTTCAGAGCTCTTGAGTTTTTCCATTCTTATCTTTATTATTTCATTAGAAAGTTTGCATCACATTCAGGTGTCTGTTGCCACTGTAGCCACACGACAGAGCCAACAACAATAAGCCTCAGTTTTATCATTTTCTAAATTGACAATTTTAATGTTTTCTTATAGGATTTGTAAGAAAAATTTTTAAAGAATCAGGGAAATAAGTATGTGGCGGAACAGTATTTTGAAATATTAATGGCATTTTCTCTCCTGTCCCATCCTTTGCCTCCTTCCCTCCCATTCACTACACGACATCCTTTGCCGCTAGTTTCCTTTTATCAGCAAAGCTGATAAAGATCTTTTGAGTTTTTTAATCTTACAGACATTGTGAAGTTTAAAAAAAAAGCTAGCCATTTAATGTGTTGAAAATGATTCAGCATATAAACAGAAATAACAGAAGAAAAGTATAAAGAGTGTCAAAGGCATAGAGGGATGCTTTTTAAAAAAGTTTTATTTATTTATTTTCAGAGACAGGAGAAAGGGAGGGAGAGAAACACTGATGTGTGGGAAAGAAGCACCATCGGGCGCCTCTCCCAGGTGCCCTGAACTGGGCATCAAACTGCACCCAGCACGTGCCCTGACCGGGAATGGAACTGGCAACCTATTGCTTTGTGGGACGATGTCCAACCAACTGAGCCACACTGCTCAGCACAAGGGACACTTGTAAAGTGTATAATTCATGTTGCTAAATTATCATATTAATATAAATATTATATTATTTAATGTCTGTATTTTACAATCATTTCAGGGAGAAGGATATATGAAAAGTACATCTTATATTCTTTACCTCAAAATTAAAAAATTTGAGATATTCTTGGATAAAAATAAATTCATACATACATCCTGTCATGAAACTTCCAGTATTTCAAAAAGTAATACAAATATGTATGAAACTCCAGTAAGAATCTGTCTTTTTAAAAATATTTTATTTATTTATTTTTAGAATGAGGGGAAGGGAAGGAGAGAGGGAGAGAAACATCAGTGTGTGGTTGCCTGTCACGTGCCCCCTGACTTGTGACCCGGCCCACAACCCAGGCCTGTGCCCAGACTGGGAATTGAGCCAGAGAAACCTTTGGTTTGCAGGCCAGTGCTCAATCCAATGAGCTACACCAGCCAGGGCTCAGTGGAATCTCTTAAAAGTTAAAACACTAAGTCAAAATATTTGGGGATAAAATATATGTGTGGCAATTAACAGATTTAAAAAATAAAGGTAAAGTGGGAGCTTTTTCTTTTAAAATTAGAACTTAATAGACTAATTTTAATTAAAATGGTACTAATATTAGACATTAAAATTGGGTCAATGGAACAAAATAGACTCTAAAACAAAGCATTAGAAGCAATCTGACGAATGCAGATATCATTTGGATTGGTAACTATTAGGTTATTCAGTAAATGTTAATAAATGATGCTTAATAAATTGCCTTGCCACACTGAAGAAAATAGCATTAGATTCTTAACACAAACTCTGCAGGAATAACCTCATTTCATCTATTCAAAATATAAAAATTAATTAAGAAATCACAGACTCTAATATTCAACAGAAAATCTGAAGAAAATTTAGAACATAATTTCCCATTTTATTTATTCAAAGTATAAAACTGTAACATATAAAAGTGCCCATTTTGAAAGCATTAAATTCATAGCAATGAGTTTCAGACCACTTTTCATCATGAGAACCCAGATATTGTGCAGCAGAGTGGGGTTGACCTTGAATTTGTATCATCCTGCTTGTTTTCTCCAGGTGATCCTGCTTGTATGGAGTTTACATAGCAAAGAGGCAAGAAGATTTTGTTTTGATGGTGTTGTGCCATTCTCAAATTTGAAACGGAAAGGCATAGATCTTAGGAGAATTCTCAACATGCTAAGAAAAGAATTTGGGCTTCTTTTAAAGTAAGTCCCAAGATGCAATTAGTAAATAAAAACTTAAGTAGAACTTAAGCATCGTATAATGTGTTTTTGGTAAATTCTCAACACAGTGCAGAGAAATAGCAGGCACTCACGAATTATTTGAAGTTTCAAATGATGGCATGAATGAAGAATCGGACAGAAAGGTGTGTTAAGACAAAGACTCAATGCAAACTGACTTGAACATATAAGAAAGTACACTGTCATCACTTGAGGATGCAACGAGCTTTTTATAGATGCAAATGACATTAGTTTTGTTTCCTCCATTTTTATTGTTTTCTGCTCACCAGCACACGTCATTATGACCTCTTCCTTCAAATTAGAGCAAACAAATCTCTAGATCAGTTATTTTTCTGTGTTTCCAAGTTTGCAAGCTAAAAGAAGCTTTTCAAAATGCTCATTTAATACTAACTCTAGATAAATGCATAAAATACACATAGAATGAAAGAATAAAAGGTAAGAAAGAAGAAGGGAAAAAGGGGGAAGAGAGGAGGGGAAGAGAGGGGAGGAGAGGAGAAAATTCTACTTTATTATTATTATTTTTTCATATGTAGAAAAATACCAGCAAAGTATTTTACCCTTTTATTGACAAAATGTCTCCAGGAAAAATTCTTAACTACTTAATAAATGGTAGCTTTTCCTTGAATGCAGAAATGGTGTGAATTTAACACGATGTTTCCAGAGAGTAATTTGGAGCCTGCAAACGTCAACATCTCAGTTTGAAATTATATTTATACAGGAATGGAAATGATGAAAATATGCCAGTTACACCATGAAATATTAACTCATTTACTAATTCCAAGTCAGCATTCTTGCCATATTCTTGGAACGGTTCATGGAACTTGGATTCGCACAATTTTGGGGCGATGGGCATTAAATAATGGAGTTCGTCACTTCTCAGCATGAAGTGCAGAGACTTGATCGAACTGTAATGACTTAGTTATAAATTAGCTTAAGAAATAAAAAAGGAAGAACATTTACATATCAGTTATTTCAAGCAAATATGCCACTTTTTCCTTCCTGACCATTCAGCATTTATGTTTTAGCTTTTTAAAATGCAGAGGTGCCTCTTGAAAAACAATGCCATCTTATATTAAAATTTTTTAAAATCTACATGTTTAGGTTTAAAATGAACATGGAAACTAGAACAGAACTTGGTACATATGAAGTGCTCATCAAACATCTGTTGAATAAATAAATTGAAGAAATCTACTACATTTCCACATCAAACTATTACCTATATTCTACAGTGAACCTTGCAATGTTCCTTTTTTTAAATTAAATTTATTGGGATGACATTGGTTAATAAGATTATATAGGTTCCATGTCTACAATTCTATGATACATCATCTGTATATTTCATTATGTGCCCACCACCCAAGGTCAAATCTTCTTCCACCATCATATATTTGATTCCCTTTACCCTTTTTAAAGCCTTTTATTTTTGACAAAAACAAAATCAAAGGCAGTGTGCCTACTTACTCCCCAAATTACCCTTTTATTTACTTGGCCAACCATTTCACCTTGTTGATTAGAATTAGGTATCAGCTAAGACTACTGCTTATCCCTGAAAGGAAAATTGTCAGCAAAACTTATAAAAATCTCAGACACTCTGATTTTAATCTTCAGTACATGAATAAATAATTGAGTAAACCCATCATGACTGTGCTGTGCTTCTGTTTCAGTTCTGGAATTCAGATCCGTTAACACACACATGAGGGTTGTAAATCTTCTTTCAGCACCAGCAGATAAGCCTAGCTTAGCTCAGTGTTTAAATAATTGATGAGTAATTAGAAAATTAAAAACTAGAAATACCACATACTATCTATAATTTTACCCACATTCACACTAACAAATTTTGATTCATGTCAGGAAAGTCATTAAAATAGCAGTTGGTTCCTATTCTACTTTTGCAAATATACTTTTCCTACTGAAAAATCATAAAATGAGAACATAATTATTAAAATGCTAGGACTAAAACTATTTCCTTTACATGTATAAAGTACACATGGACAAAACCAAAGGGGGGTAGAATCAAGGGTGGGGCGGGGGGGAATGATGGGGGGATATTGAGAAACTGCTTGAACAACAATAAAAATGTCAAAAAATAAAATAAAATACAATGAATAAAAAAAGTTTCCTTTATATCTTAGTATTTAAAATTTTTATTGTGTGAGTTGCTAACCTCTGATATCTGTATTAAAACGCAGTTCAAAAACTATTAGAATCAGCGTTGGTCACACATGTCTTAACGATATGACAACAAGTGGGGCCACATTTTTTATATTATGTGCATTTAGCAGTGTCTACATTATGCACTTTTTCTACATTAAGTCATCCAAATTAACAAATACTTATCTGACACTCCTACATGTAAGGTGCGGTGCTGGCTGCTACATCTCAAAACAGGAGCAAGGAAGAAGCACGTCCCATTCTAAGGGAGCACACAGCTTGGCCAGGTGGAGAGGGGTGAAAGTAATAATTACACACAAGTGGGATGAAATTAATAATCACACAAAATGTTAAACTCCTGAGGGAGTCACAAATCAAGACCATCACACACTATGAGATACTATTTACACAAAATTTTCAACCCTTTTAAATCCTTGGGGTTTTGCCTAGCGTAAATAATTATGCTTATCTTATGAAAAAATACCTTGATCACAAGAAGAAAGGGGCCTTCTGTTGATGTTAACTAGCCTGTTTGAATCTGGTTGTTCTACTAGTGAGAAACAGATTTTTTAAAGGAAATTTTTATCATAAAACTGGAAAGGGCTGTAAGTTTTACACTTTTAAAAGGTGAGTTTCTTTGGTGTTAAAATTTTTCATCTTTATATTTCTATTTTCCTTTGAGTAGTTTTTCCACTATCAAAACGGAAAGGGCTGAACTTGCTATTTATGAAAAAAAATGGGTTTTTTTGCTTACAATTTTTATTGTGGTTTCCAATACAAAGACTCTCTCAGGTTGATACTTTGATTCTGCTTTAAATGTGATTTTAATATTTGATTTATTTATTAAATATCAATATTATTGTCTTTTGAATGTAGCAAATGCATTTTAGGATGTAATTTACCTATCCAAAACTAATTACATAAAACATATTTTTAGTCACATATTAGTGTGAGGTGAATAATATGATATACACACACACACACACAGGAAAATGATCATCCCAATAAATTATATAAAATATCTTTTATTCCCAAAGCTTAACTTATTTATTTTTAGAATAAGAACATGCATTTTATTGTCCATGTAATACTTGATTATCTACCATGTAACAGAAAACGTCAATTCTTTACACAGGTATGTAGCATATTCTCTGTTTTAGTTCTTTACACATCAAGGATGCTCAACAGTCACGAGAACACTGATACAGGCTGGGGTAAGTGCCAGGCCTTACCTGAGGTCTTGGGAAGGTTCCGCTCTGATGTGAGGCGTCTCCACAGAGTGTCCGAATACTGCTCCTTCAGTGCCTGTGAGCAACATGAACCCCGTGTCAACAGAAGCAAGTGGACAGATACGTCGATATTCGTTTCTATTTTTATGGGACAAGTATGCTTCCAAAAATGGGACAACTGAAAACAGGAATACAGAAAATAAGAGGAAAACTGAAAAAAGAATTCAAAGTACTGCAGGACCAAGGAGGTCAAATCTCGTCATTCTGGGACCACTTTTAAGATGATGCTATTTATAAAAGTTCAGACTGGGTCAGAATTTTTAGCTTTTTTACCAAAGAACAAGACCCATCTCCTTCCTCTGTTTTGTTTCTGCAGTAAGTGAATCTGAGGGGAAAATAGGTCATGATACACAGTTCTGTGTCTCTACAAACAGCAGAGCATGAGTGAAAATGGGAAGAGTGAGCTGCATGGGTCTTACTGAGCATCCAGCCCTTCTCCCACAGAAAGCTCCCACCTTTGATGAGAGTGGTTACTGAGCAGCAGAGAGCTGGGCATCTTATTTTGACCTCACTGGAAGGGAGGCTCTGTCTAAGCCCATGACCTGCTTGGCTTCATTTCACTAGGGTTGGAGCTTCACTTCATATGGAGCTCACAGTCATCCAAGAGGTCAGGCTCTCGAACACCTTCCTCAGACAAGTGAAGCTTCCATTTGATTTTCCAGGTTCCCAGAGCTTTCCTATAATTTAACTAAGCAAAATGAAATGACTTTCCTTTTCAAAAATTAAATCCAAAACATAATTTTTAAAGAAGACGATGAAGACAAAACTTCTTTTTATTTATTTATTTTTGTAATTTCACATAAATGTTTCAGATCATTTCTTTCAGCATAAACTTTATTTTCTTTTGGTTTAATCTTCCTCAAATATCTCGGTGTAAGAATATTATACCTGCCTCATCGATGACCTCAACACCAGCAACTTAAAAGTACAAATTTTAAAAAGACCAAACAGAGCTGTTTCTGCTTATTGTAAAGAACAATTTAAATATATTGATCAATAAGCAAAGAAGAAATTGTAAAATCTATTTATTTCAGTAGTTTTTTCTTTTCATATGTTTAAGAGATTTATTTCTGTGTAAAAAATTCTTAGAAACAGGTTTTTGATAGTAAAGTGACAATTTTATACAAAATTTTAATTTTATGATTGTGGTGGGGGTGACATTTGAAATGACATCCCAAGATATAAATTTTCATATCTCAAGGAGAAACTTTTTTTGGCATTTAAATAATAAGATATAACTTCCAAAAAGGATGGTATCCATGTGTAAAATTCAAATATTAATTGCCACTTCTAAGTATGATTTTGAAAACTTCTAAGACAAGATAGCGGAAATATAATTAAAGAACAGTAGCAATATTAATTTTCAAACATAGAATGACACATATAGTAATTCAGCACAGAATATATCAGTGAAAGTTAAAGTAAAATGCTGTCAAAACTTTCATTTACCAAGGAGGATTAAAAATTGATAGAGGTCTCAAATCTAAGTATCAACACAGAAAATTATTGATGATTTAAAAAATTTATTCTTGAGGAAATAAATGTATAATCACACCACTTGAGGTGCTAAATTGAAAAGTGAATAAAATAACAAATATTCAGCTAAGTGTAGGCCTCTAGATAATGAGAAAAGTACTCTCATCTTTTCCATTTTTGTCCCAGAGTGAGCCAAAGGGCAAAAATAATAAGCAAAAAATGATCATCTCAGAAAGAATCAATGAAGAGGGATGAAAGCCATCTGAGCCAGGCACATAAAAAGTCAAAATTAAATAAATATATATCCTACGAATTGGGAAATGTCACTATTAACAGGGCGCAGACTTAGCAATTAAAAATATAGGACACTCAATTAATTTTTAATCTTAGGTAAACATTAAATCATTTTAGGATAAATATCCAACATTAGAAGGGAACATTTTTATATTAAAAATGATTTGTTTTGTATCTGAAATTCAAAATTAACTTAATCATTAGTTAACGTTTATTTGGTACAAAGAGTACAAATCTGACATTTTCACTTTAGGAAAGAAAAAAAATGTGTGATGAGTCTCACATTGTAAGTTACAGAAACCATGGAAACCATACAGGAGGAGAATAAAAGGACAAAAGGAGCATAATGTAGACATTTATTAATATGCACATTTAAGTTTATTGACTAAATGAACATTTGTTGCTATTAGCATTATAAGGGGTTGTTCCAAAGGAAATAAAGAAAAATTATGATTGATTGTGTAGCTGTTAAGGATATTTCAGATACCTTAAAGTGATAGTGATGTTATAAGACTTAGGGAAAACAGACTGTTAACTATCGTAATGGTTGAGGAAAAATGAGTCAAGCAAACTTCAGGGTCTAAAAGTACTGTATCTCAATCATGTGATAATTTCTGGCTTCAAAATGAAAGAATAAGGATGATACAGTTTGCTTTGCTGGAGAGGAGAAAGTATATACTGAATTGCTTCTATTTTATATTTAAAGACAGTTTAAGACATAAGCTAGGATGTTATTCTTTACAAATGCTTAACATAAATGTTACCCAACAAAAACATTGCAAAATCATTAAAGTTAAATATATGAGAGGGAACCCCCACAAAATCAGAATTATCTTCTGGAGGGCGGGCCCCTTGCTGAACAGGCTTCCCCCTGTAAGTGAGGGTTCTAGGAACTCTTCTGTACCAGTGGACCAGCTGGCGTTGTGAGAAGCTGTGTTCAGCTCCAGTGAAATTCTTTTGAAGATTTTTTCATTGAATTTGTGCATTTCATGATGGATGATTTACAATTGCACCAGCCCACACTGTGCTGAGTGTTCAGCAGTTTTTGACCAAAAATGGCCCCACCCTCCCTATTCACACAATCTTGCCCCAAGAGACTTTTGTTTTCCGAGGTGAAAAAAGTCCTCAAAGGGAAACCTGTTGCTGATGAGGAAGAGGTGAAATAAACAAACAAACAAACAACAACAACAACAACAAAAAACAGCAGAAGCACTAAAAGGCATCAGAATCTACAAATTCAAAAACTGTTTTGAGCAGTGGAAAAAATGTTTCAGTAGGTGTATTGCATCAGGTGGAGAATACTCTGAAGGTGACTGACTTCTAAACATGTAAGAATACACAATTTTTTATAAATAAATTCCAGTGTTGGGGGTTCCCCCCTCATACACAGTCTTCCTAATGTGGTTATGTGTACTATAAATGCTATGCTCTAAGCTATTCACTATGGACCTGTTGGTCTCCATATATCTTTAGAAAAGGCATTTGCCTAAGAACAGGCAGCATAAGACATGGAAATTAAAAAAATACTTAGTATTTCCAAATTCTTTTTGAACTTACAGCAACTGAAAAAGAAAAAATATTCTGTGAAATGTAGCCTCTCTCCAGCCACCAGCTTCATGAACTCTACTGCAGTTAATTTCAAATACAATTTGATGACATTATTGGCTTTGTGTGGAAGAACTTAAGATAAGTAATACACATAGAAGCCAAGAAAAGGTACCTCTTTGCTTTGAAATACTAGTTTTACATAAATTATTTCATGTTTTCTCACAGACCCTTTGTGATTTGTGTGGGTGGCTATGCCTGTGTTTCCAGTTTCCCATTTCTCTCTGTCCCACTATGGAAAAGGTCCAACATCTTCTCAGCAAGGCCAAAACAAAAAAGCCAGTGTCCAGAGTTTCTGCTTAATGTTGATGCTTAATCCTAAGGGCTCACACGGGCTACCACATTGCCCTGGTAGCTGCTAGGCCCGCATAGTCACATGCTCCCAGGCGAGAGAGTGCTTGAACAAATGGGTGTGTTCAGGTCACTAGTGAGACAGACACAGACAGACAGACAGACAGAGACAGAGAGTGAGAGCTTTTTTGTTTCCCTGGGATTATATCAGATATATTAGCTTGGGTTTAGGACAGACCAGGTGCTTTTTAAATGACCAATGAACTTTTCAAGATTTCATGGGCTTTTTGATGGGTCCGCCCTCCAGTTAGACTAACAGGACTTATGATCAAGCAGCTCCGCCCGTGGCACCCAACAATCCAGTAACAGAAGAAAAAGGGAGAATGCTAATCCCCTTGGTGGAGCAACATTATGATCCTCTGGGATGTGAAGCTGTAGCTTCCTGGTGAAGCAAACAGACTCACACTCCCTGGTTACCAAACTCAATGTACAATTTCCCTTGTTCCCCTTCTTATGAATAATTAGCTAACCACCTATGATGATATCCACCCCCACCCTGAAGACCTTGAACCTTATAATCTTACTAGGGTAAATGGATAAAGGTCTCATTTTCTATAGCTGCTTCTTGCTGTCAAAGGTGCATAGTCCTGCTTATCTCAGGCCCACAGGGTCCTCCTATCTGCTAAAGGAAGACAGGAGCAAAAATGAAAGAGTCTTCATGCAGGGAAGATGGATTCTGCAAAGTCCAGCTCACTCTGGCACTGTCTTGGGACGCAGCATACACGAAGTCTAGAGGATAAAGATTCTGGACAAGCTGGCATCCTTGTTGTATTCACAAGCCACAGGTCCTCTCACTCCTGGTGGTTGGCCAAATGTTGTGGGTGGAAATCAGTCTCTTCCACAGGATTACAAGGAAAGTATTGCAATAAGTTTTGCACGGGCGATTGTGGTGTATCAAGATGGTTTATTTGTGTGGACGGCTGCCTCTGTCTTTCCCATTTCCCTCTGTCCCACCATGGAAAAAGTCCAACTGTGTCCTCAGCAAGACCAGCATGGTTGTGTGCTTCTCAGTGAGGGAGCCTACAAACAGTGGGGTGAGCGCAAGTCATGAGAGACAGAGGGGGGAGGGGGGAGAGAGGGAGGGAGAGAGAGCAAGCTCTCACAGACCTGTTAAATATAAGTTGATAATATATTGTTTACACCTAAAAGATGAGAAAGCTCTAATCAGAGAAATTAAATACCTCATTGATGAGGCTAGACCCTTGGTCTCCAGATTTTCCTATGTGTACACTGAGAACTTTGAAATGAGCAGACTTCAGTAGTGACTTCCAAATGTCAGTATCTTTAGCT